GTTAAATGCTCACAAACTGTTCCATTTCAAAGTTAAAAAATTTACTATGATACTGTTTCTGCATACTCTGCATCATCAGAGGTTTAGAGAAAGAATAATGATTGAAAATCCAAATATGTCAAGTTAATAAAGCAGTATGAGGTCTTGCATTACCATGACAAAAGTTAACACCTTTGGAATTGTTGAGTGCTGTTGCTCAGATGCAAAATCTATTCAAATGTTACCAATACACAGCAGATTTTACTCTTTCATTTTTTATGCACTTAAAGTTTGCTCCTCCAAATAAGCACTTGATCACAACTATTTAAGAGCAGTTGCAACTGATGGGGATCATGTCATGATATTGGCCAAGTGGTTAAAAAATTTTACAGGAAACAGGAATTTTACAGGATACACAGGAAAAATTTGCTTGAACTTCGAAATTTTGAATGTTTATAATAAATCATTAGTTATTTCTTTTTCCCATCAACTAGTTTTAAAACTGCACTATTTTATATAAATTTAATTTTCATGCAGTTTTTCTCCTACTAATAAAATTTGCAGTTCCATACACAAAAACCCCATTCCACATATGAACTCCTGGGGTACATACCATATTTCTTGTTAGGCTTACACTGGTCAAACAATAACCTCCAAATTTCACACTTAAAAGAAAAAGATTGATGTTCGTAAAAAATAAATATTCATAAATAATCCACTGCCCATCACCACAATTAAAAAAAATCACATTTTTCATTTCTCTGTAGCCAAAATTGTTTAAAAAATATCTTTCATTGGTGAATCAGATTTCCTGGAAGCATTTCCCATTCATACTAATCCTTTGGTTCTGGTTAATGAATCCAATTCAAATTCTTTTTTGCCATCAACTTCTCAATTGCTTTTAGTTGACAGATGGCACTAGTGATTCCCTTTCTATAATTTTAGCTAAAACATTGCTGAATTTTTCTCTGTTGCTCTTGCATTAAACACATATTTCTTGCTCATTATTTTTATCCTGCAGCTGAAGAGAACAGCTGTGTTTAATGAAAACAGTCTAAAAATTTTACTCATGTTATGCCAGTTCCTCGTTTATTGTTAGTTTCTTTAATGTTTAGTTAGGTGTCAGCTGATAGCAGATCATTCTTTTGATATACAGTTATATACTTAATAAAACCTTTCTTGGATGCAATTAAAATTTTTTGAGGTTAATGGCAAAGACTTAAAAACTAAACATACAATCTTTTCTCTATTGGCATTATAGTACAATGCTTATTTCTTATAACAATTCATTCAAAAATATACAATACTCATTTTAAATAACAATTCAACCAAAACACACATACACACACACACACACACACACACACACAAAAAAAAAAAAAAAAAAAAAAAGATTCAGCTCTTAAATTGGGGGGGGGGATACAGGTACCAACTCTTTCCTCTTGTTACATTGTAAGGAATTGTGTATTTCCTCATGCAAGTTCTTATCCATAACTAGTAGTAGCATGCCCAGTTAGTAGTGGAAAATTTGTGGTTCGAATCCTGGCCACAGCGTAGCTGATTATTCAAGTTACCCAACTTAGTAAAGAAAGAATAGCCAGAGAAGAAATCATGGCAAATGGTTGCATCGAGGTGTAAATCTTTCAAGAAAGTTCTGCAACTGGTTGGAGATATGTGGATAAGGTATTGGAATCCGAAGTGTGACTGTTTGGGGATGCTGTTGGTCCACAGTTTTTGCTAGTGGATGATAATACTTGGCTTCATCAAAGTATATATGGTGTCAGAATATTTGCAAACAAAAGATATCACTCGAATGGATTGGCCACCTAACTCACCTGATTGAGCACGTGCAGGATGCCTTAGGGTGGTGAATTTTATCATGCAAAATTCCTCCTTAGACACTCCAGAAGCTGAAAAGTACACTTTTAGAAGAGCGGTATGCAATTCTGCAAGATTTTATCAACAGTTTGGTTGATAAATCAATTCTGCAAGGTTTTATCCACACCTTGAATTTATCAACACAAGTCTATGAAATCAAGATGTAAGGTAAGCATGTCTGTTTGAGATGATCATTCACCAGATTAAAGAAAGCTTTTCTTGCTTTTTTCCCTTAATTTTTTTTTATCATTTTCCAATTTTCCTAAATTTGGTTTTAATTTCAATATTTTGTGAATAATCAACTGCCAAACACTGTAATTTATGTTAAATAATGCTTTTGTACAAATTTCTATTAACTTTTTATCAAGTTATATTTTATTTCTTTCATTATCTTTTACTTTTGATGACCAGTGTATAATAATCTTTAGAACTTTATAGAAGACTTACTCACATATCAGACTTCTTTGTGAAGACAACATTTGCACCAATCTTTCAACTGTTGTTATGTACTAACATTTTCACTAGTTTATGAGCATCGGTGGTTCATTTATTACAGCCTGATCCAGAAATTCCTAGTTTAATTCCAGAACAGAATCTTCACAATTTTCGGTCTCCATTCCAAATTTGTAAAACCAGTCATGGTTTACGCACAGGTTTTCAACCTTTAAATCTGAAAAACGAAAAGTTTCTTATATGAAAACTAGGTGGCCTCTGTGGTGATACCTTTTTGAAAGAATTCCAAATTGACTTTAATTCACTGTATAATGCATGAATCAATTTATTGAACTATTTATAACATGATTCTGATGCAAAACACATTACTATTTAATTACATTTTCTAAATTTTATGTTTTTCGGCTAATTTCATTTTCTACTTTTCTTACACTTTTATTCTAAGAAAATCCTGAATTGGTAAGAAAAGTTTTCATTTACTGAAGTCTATTTAAAAATGAAAATAAAGTTAATAATTAATGCATGTATTATTGTGAGAATAAATTTAGCAGTGTATCATCTATTGATATAAAGCCAAATTAAATACAAATACAGTACAAAGTCTGTAATCCGGACGTCCATTATCCGGAATGATCTTCCTCAAAGTATATATGCTAGTATCCGTATATATGTCAAAGTATATAAAGTATATATGTCCATTATCCGGACCTCAAAGCCACAAAATTTTATTTTTGGTATGCTTTACGCATGCGCATTGGGAGGATGTGGCTCCAGATACGTTAAAAAATGCTTGGCATAATTTATGGCCAGCTGCCATATTTCACTGTGAGGACGATGACGATGATAGCAGCGAATTTGAAGGTTTTCGGACATCGCAAACTAAAGGTGAAATTGTCCAGTTATTGGATTTTGTAAAGAAATGTTGAGAAGCGGTAATAAATGAAGATGATATAACAGAAGTTTTTCATTGCAAAGACAATGCCCCAATCATCAATCAATTAACGGATGGCGAAATCTGTAGTATGGTTCTAGATCCAGAAAATACCGCTTTCGATAGGTGGAATTTTGTAACTGAACAATAAATTATGTCTGTTTATAGAATTAAAGAGAAAGTATTAGCACAAAAAACGAAGCAACTTAAACAACTTACACTGAAAGAATGTTTAATAAAGTAAACAAATAAATATTAAGCTTTTTTTTGTAAATTTTGATATCCTTTATATCATAATTACTCTTTATTTCATAAATTACGGTTTAATATTTTTAATTGTACAATTTCTGCATGCCACCTTACAAGATTTAAATTGATGATCTATAATGCGGAAAAACCCCTAATCCAAAATTGCAGAAGTCCGGACGAGTCCGGATTACAGACTTTGTGCTGTATTACCTAATTAAACATTGGTTTGAGCTTCATAAAAAGTTCCACAAATGTCTATAGTAGATTAAGAAAATTCAGATGTAAGAAAAATTATTCTAAAAATTAGTAGGGGCGAGTGAATTCAATTTGCACAATTTAACCTTCAACCTGTTGAGAAATGTTTTCTTTAGTAAGAGCTAAAAATTAAAAACTGGGAGATCTGGTGATCTTCCATGAGATGTGATGAAAAACTGGAAGAGTTGGTAGCTTTGCAAACACTATCATCAATTATATCAGAATTTTTTAATATGCCCAGCAAAAATCATGAGATTCACAGCACTGTTTCCTCTAAATTTAAGTTGTGATTCAGATCTAGATTATCTGTAGTAAAATTAAACTTCCTTTCAGTTCAAGTCATATATTTAAAAGAAATTATACATTTTGAATGCTAAAATTTACGGAATGAAAAAAGAAAAGAAAAGGGGAAGATAAAATATATATTTTTTAAAATTTGGCTAAAAGTTATTTTTAGTCTTAAACAATAAAAAATGGCTTCCAAATAAAAGAATTTATTATCATTTCTAAAGCTCTTAATTCAGATTTTTAAGCAAATTTAAATACGATAAGAGTTCATGGTATAGTTAAATCAAAAAACTACTGCCTGCATTAATAGAAAATATCACATTTCCTATCTCAAAGGAAAGACGGATGCTAAAAGAACTGAATGCTCTTTCCTCACCAAATAACATATTTTCTTCCCAAAACAGCATTCATAAAATAAACACATAAAATTTACTATATGCATTAATATCTCATAAATGCAGGACTCATTGCGTACCAAAATTATTATTTATTTGATCATACTAGTTCTGATAAAAGGCACTGAGATGAGTTCTTCACGATAACTCAACACATTTCTTATTTCAGCAGAGACTTCCTTGACAGCCACACTGTATGTTGGTCATGATATCTATCTGCAACCACCAAGACATTCACTTTCAACAACCCCCACAATTAAGTATGGTATCAGACCATATAACTGAGTGAGCTACAGTCTCATGGAAATGATGCAAGTTTCTACATTAACAATCATACTTTAGGTATCTCATAATTTTCATTAGTGATCACTAGATATCTCCAAAATTGCTTCTATGCATTCCACTAGAGTTTATTAAAAGCACTTTTAAGTATTTTAGTTTCAACTTTTCAGATTATTGATCTGAATTTTTAATTATATTTTCTTCCACACTGTATTTACGGTAATTTAATATCAGAAAAATTAATCGCAAAATGGCATTTTATTTACTACTTAAATAAATCACATGCTACATTACAAGTTTAAAAAATAAATTTATTCTAAGCACAGACATTTTATACAATTCCATAAAAATTCCCATAATTTAAATGAGAACATTTATTGCTTCCTTCTTTCAAATAATGGAATACTACTAGGTGTTAGAGATTGTCCTATTAATGGATTATGCAAATTGTGGTAAGATTCAAAGCATTGTAAATTATGCCATCCTCTTTTATCTACAGGTACTCCCAGTCTTGTTAATAAAGATGAAGAAAGAGTTGGAATTACTGGCTGCAGTAATATGCCACTTATCCTGAGTACTTCTAAAGCAATATGTAAAACAGTAGCAAGTTTTTCTTTGCTATCATCATCTGTATGTTTGGCAAGTTCCCATGGTTTATTAAATTGCATAAAAGCATTCGTGTCTCTAAGACATGCCATAATGCAATCTAATCCTCTGTAGAAATAACCTTCCAGGAAATGTTGCTTAACTTTTTCTAAAAAATAATAATATATATATTAGGTAGTTTAAATAAATATAAAAAAAAATTATAAATAATTGAAAATTAATATCCAAACTTTTTAAAATTATACTTCTGAAAACCACAGCAGCATAACTAATTATACTGAAATACATCTGTAATAAATATACAGTAAATGCCCGACTATTAAGCATTCACTAAGGAAGCTCAATGACTGGACTATTTTAGCATTTTAGAAACTTACCCTCTCCAAAAATTAAGTGAATGAGAGACGAGTAAAGCCATCATAGAGAGTATATAGGACACTGTTGCCAAACAGTGTGACTTAACACCAACAATGGATAAGTGTGATATGACAAAAATATTGTAAGACCTTTACCTTAGTTTTAGGTACCTAATCAATTTTTTTAAAAAACTTTAATTTTTTTTGAACAGAGTAATTTTACTTATCAAGTTTAGAGTAACTAATTATCAAGTTTGCAATGGTTACCTATTTAGGTATGTCAAAATATTAGAAAATTTTCTTTAGCAATATTATAAACGGTGACTGTTCTGTTTCATATATGCATTAGCATACATTATCTCACCATTAAGAACCATTAAACCTCAGTAATAATTGCTTTATAACAAGACATTCTATTTAATTAACTGCATTTAAGTTAACAATTATATTCTAAAGTAAATATAATCATATTTTGAAAAAAAAAAAAAAAAAAAAAAAAAAGTTATAAAAAAAAACTTCCGTAATACTGAAAAAGTGAAAAATATTCAATAATAACTGAATTATAACAAATCAGGCAATAATAAATTTTAAGAAGCAATATGTAATTGGTGTAAACTTATATAGCAAGGTGTAGTTGCTACATGCTTCAGTTAATTTGCTACGTCAGTACGTTAAATGATAAAAATAGATTCTTTAATGTCTGACAAAATATTAAATAGATAATAAAACAAATTTCAAATGAGGGCTTCCAGGTGCCCATATTCAGTGCAGGATTACATTCCTACATTTCAAAAGATGAAAAAAATAATCGCCCTTTAATAACACTTTTTTTACATGAATGCACAGATCTTTGTATTAGAAATTTTTTCTCTCTGTATTTCAAAATAATTTTGCTCTAATATTTCATTTCCATATTATTTATTAAAATTCATGGCAACTGCATGTTGCTTCTTATAACATGTTTTTAAATAATATTCATGCATAAAATGGTAATCTGAAATACCAGGCAAGATGGATGTTTCCTCAATGAGATGCTGCACATTTGATTCGGTTAATTTTTGAAAAGCTTCATGAGAAAAATGTGGAAACACCTGCTTAGGATTTAAAGCACGAGCACAGGTACGATTTAATAAATTTCCCAGAGTATCTGCCAATTCTGCATTTAACATTCGGTGAATTTTTACCTCACTGTAATCTGAAACAGAAATATAATTTTAGAGTCTTCTGGTCAGAAATTTTAGTATGCCAATTAATTAATGCTATTATAGCATTTTAAAATAAAATCCAGATGAAAAACATATCTACATATCAGTTGTAGGAAAGAAAAAAAGGAAAAGACAATTTCACAAAGAAATTTCAAACATGGCAAAATAGCACAAAATAATAAGCACAAATAAATTAAGTCATTAAGTTTATTTCATAATTTTTTTAATAGGGACAAAAGCCATTTTTAGGCTTTCATGACTACTAAGGCTACCAGTGGTGGCCATTTTGTTATGGAGGCACCAAATAGGTGACCACCGTTACCTCCTATAAGGGGACAGACAATTTACATCCATCCCTTTTTCCAAAATTTGAACCCAGGCCCTTTGGTATCACGATTGTCTTCCCTAACCACTATACCATCTGGGTGGCTATTTCATAATTGTTTTTAACTGAAAACATAAATTATGAACTTAATCAATTATCACCAATCATAGTTATAAAATCAATATCCAAGCTAAACATAATTATATAAAGTTTACCAGAAAGTTCTGTCTATTTTTTGAATAAAATAAAACACAAATTTTTCTTAACATCAATAAACTTTACTAAATATTATAATTGCCATTACTATTAATGACTTCTTGCCAGGGTGAGAGCAATTTGCATATTCCATTTTTGAAAAATGTTTCATTTTTTGATGCGAAAAATTGAATAAGTGCTAGTTTGATATCTTCTTCATTTTTGAATTTTTCGCCCTTCAAAAAATTTTGTAATGACAAAAACAAGTAATAGTTCTGCGGTGCTAAGTCCGGAGAATATGGTGGATGTGACAGAATTTCCCAGCCTAGTGCTGCAATTTTTTGACGCGTTCCCAAAGCAGCAGGTGGCCTGGCATTATCATAATGCAGTATGATGTCCTTCCTGTTGAACATCGCCGATCTCTTTTTTTGGACTGCTGTCTTTAAATTATCCAGTTGCTGACAATACTTCTCCGAACTGAGGTTTTCGGTTGGTTTTAAAATCTCATAGTGTATTGGACCTCGAATGTCCCACCATATACACAACATTATCTTATTCAGAGTCAAATTTGGTTTAGAGGTGGAAGGGCTAGTTTTTCCGGGCTTACAATATCCTCTTTTCCTTATGATGTTTTCATAGGTAATCCACTTTTCATCCCCAGTCATCATCTGGTTCAAGAAGGGCTTGATTTTGTTCCGGGCAAGCAGAGATGTGCATATGACGACTCTATCATCAAAATTCTTCTGACTTAATTTGTGTGGCACCCATCTTG